TCCTGTTGATATTTGAGGATATATAACATAAATAGGCAATCCATTTTTGTATAATAATTATTTATTTATTTATTTATGTAAAGCTTCGGGAATGCGAAATGTTTTATGTGCACATTCGATATAAAACTTGAAAGATTAAAGTACAAACCAGTAAATGTTCGAATCCCCGTCACCGAACATGCTCCCCCCCTTTTCTGTCATGGGGCGTTATAATGTGACGGTCAATCCCACTATTCGTTGGTAAAAGAGTAGCCCAAGAGTTGGTAGTGGGTGGTGATGACTAGCTTGCCTTCCCTCTATGTCTTTCACTGCTAAATTAGGGAAGGCTAGCACAGACAGCCCTCGTGTAGCTTTCCGCGAAATTCAAAGCAAACGAAACCAGTAAGTATTGTTTTTATGGTATGCCTCATACTGGAAGTGACCTTTATTGTTGTAAATTGAAGTGTTTAGAAATAAAAGTTTATGGTAATGTTGATGTCCAACAATGAAAATTTAATACTTAAGAAACTGAGAAGCTGGATGGGAATTAGTGTGGTCCACATATCTGTGGTTGTAAAACTATTTAACCCTTTATTACAAGCATTACGAAAATGCTTTGGAAAAAAAAATGTGTTTTTTGAATTTCCTACTTAAAGAGGTCTATAATTTTGGTAAGTTATAAATAAGTACGTCAACTACAGGACGTAAGAAATTGTATTAAACAACAAAGATGGATTTGTTACCTGGACGTTACAATATGCAGTAGAGAGTTAAACAATTGTTGACAGTTGTTCTTTTATAATAACACAGAAACAGATCTGTCAAAGAGAGAGTTAATCCAAAACTCATAGTGACACCATCAATCTGATCTTAAAGATTGTCGTTTAAAAGAAAATAAGATTTCTTCAGAGCAACTTCTAAAAGGTTCATTCAAGAATAGTCAGATAGTCAGCGTTGTTGTTGATGAAGATCGTAACCCCCATTTAACTATATAGTTTCGTCTAATTAAGGAATGGTCAGATAGTCAGCGTTGCTGTTGATGAAAATCATAACCCCCATTTAACTCTATAGTTTCGTCTGATTCAGGAATGGTCAGATAGTCAGTGTTGCTGTTGATAAAGATCATAATCCCCATTTAACTCTATAGTTTCGTCTGATTATATTTAACTACATAATTCAAAACTGGTTTTCAGCTTGTAGCCATTGGTGGTGAAACTATTCAAAAATTCAACCAAAAAACCAGCTAAGCTGCAATGATAGAAACTAAGTTAGGGTTTATTAATATTATCATTTTAACCAAGTTTCTGTTTATTAATATTAAGATTTTAACCAAGTTTCTGTTTATTATTATTAACATTTTAACCAAGTTTCTGTTTATTAATATTATCATTTTAACCAAGTTTCTGTTTATTAATATTAACATTTTAACCAAGTTTCTGTTTATTAATACTAACATTTTAACCAAGTTTCTGTTTATTAATACTAACATTTTAACCAAGTTTCTGTTTATTAATACTAACATTTTAACCAAGTTTCTGTTTATTAATATTAAGATTTTAACCAAGTTTCTGTTTATTAATACTAAAATTTTAACCAAGTTTCTGTTTATTAATATTAACATTTTAACCAAATTTCTGTTTATTAATATTAACATTTTAACCAAATTTCTGTTTATTAATATTAACACTTTAGCCAAGTTTCTGTTAACAGTATTAACATTTTAACCAAATTTCTATTTGTTAATATTAACATTTTAGCCAAGTTTCTGTTAACAATATTAACATTTTAACCAAATTTCTATTTATTAATATCAACACTACAATAAATTTTTCTAATTATCGAAATAAATTAAACTGCTACTCAGACGATGTTGAAACTCGAAATTTTACACAACACTTTACACCTATTGAAAAAGACAAACAGAAAGCTCTTGTAGGCCTAACCTCACACGAAAAATCTGTATGGCACACGGTGTAATAAGCCTCTAACTTTTTTATGATACTGATGGATGTATTGGAATTTGTTTTTATCTCACTGTCCACTATTAGTTTTATGAGTGAGTTTAAAATGAAGCCCGTCAACAGTTAAGGCAGCATGATTTATCTTGTCAGGCGAGGATATTAATAGATGTTTTTTTTTAATGACAGGAGAATGGTTCATCATCTTAAAACACTTGGTAGAAGTCTAGTTGAATTTAAAAAGAACTACTGCTCAAATTAATACAAATATTCAATGTGTCGTCAGCTTATCAAGAGAGTTTTTAATTTTGAAAATGGTAAAAGTCTCAGAATACAGGAACCCTTTAGAAAAAAAAGAAGAAAAACTTCCATGAACAAATATATTTCATTTGGGAAACTTCAGTACAGATGGAAAACACCGCTAGAGCTCCAAAGCTCAAAGACAAATAGATTCAGTAAAAATCAATCTATTGTTCACCTTTAGTTGTCATTTTAGCATTCAAGACTGGTGGGTGAACGCTTTAGAGTGCCCTCTGGTGACAATTCAAATAACTCAGATGAATCCATAACAATTAACTAAATAAAAACACAGGCCATACTGCAGTTGTTTGAGATTACTTTCGACGCTCTTAATAATTAAAAAAGTAAGTTAATTATTTTTACTTCAGTAGTTTTTTTTATGGAATGCTAATTGGTTTTTAAGGTTAACTCAAAATTTTCTTGTGCTTAACTTGTATGCAGAGCAATATTAACAACTTTCTTGTTAACAAAGAAATCTGATTATTTTAGTGTTAACTGTAATTCAAAGTATTTTCTTTTTCTTAATTTGCACAGGCCCTAGAGCCCTATTAGCAACTTTCTTATTAACGATGAAATCTGACTAGTTTAAACAATTTAAGTAAACATAGGCACATTATATTCTTTCCCTGGTTGAAGGTATTGCCTTTGAGTACTATAGCATTTAAAAAAAACAAAAAAACTTGATTTGTTCATTTACGTTCATACTTCACATTAAGCCTTTTTCTACCAAGAAAGAAACTTCAGGCCGTAAGGGGCGCTCACTTAATTTTAAGATACGTCCCAACAGTATTGTTGTTGTTGGAATGTTTGTTGTTGTTGTTGTTTTTTCTCGTTTTATTCTAAATAAAACTTGCGGTTTCACGTGAGGGTGCATTTATCAAATGAAATCGGACAGACAGACTTATGTACTATTAGTTTATTGTGTTGAGTCAGCAGTTAGAATATAATATGTATTTTTTTCTTCAAGGAATTTCAAGGAATATTACAGTATAATTAGTTGAGATCATATTATATTCACTTTGGAATATCATGACACACCACTTGTGATAAAACATTTGATTATTGTTTTGTTTACTCAACTTCTTAAGTCAAGCACGAAATCTTAATAAGTTAGCCTTTGAAGCCCTGTGTGCGTTAACCCTATTTTTAGCAATAATAAAGTAATTTGTTTTGTTGTTGTTTTCGGGGGAGGGAAGGACATATTACATATTTTGGCAGAAGTAATATTTATTTTCTTTACTAGAAAATTCTTGGTTGGACTCTTTCAAAGACTCGTGGAATTTCATTAAAATGTATAACTTAACTCTTATCGAGTCACGTAAAAAAACCATTTGTTCTCCCACTTGCTCGGCGGGTAAGTCTTTGGGCTTATAGCGCTAAAATCGAGTTTCGATACCCACGGTTTGGTAGATCCAGATAGCCTATTGTGTAGCTTTGCGCCTAATAACAAACAAACGAATCATATGTAATGCTCCTCTTATTTCAATCATTTAAAATTCTCTGCTAATCACTTAAAAATAATTTTAAGGTAATGTAAAAAAATCCCTAGCGAAAGTGTTAAGCTAATACTTTTTAAATGTGTAATAATAATAAAAAAACATATTTAGCCTCCACAAGTAAACCTACATGTATTAATGAAATATACAACGAACTTTTATAATGATTGAGTAATTAGCAAGCGTTCCATGTGCTGTATCACGAGTGTGTAATTAATCATTTGGCACGTTGGATTTACTTTAGGGACTTCTTTTGTTATTTCGATCCAAGCTGAGTCCTTCATCACGTCTGACGAGATTAATAGAAGGATGTAAATCAAAGGAGTATATAACATTAACACGTGATCAACTTTTCAGCAAACCCAGAAACAAAACAAAAAATGAGTCCGAATATTTCCAAGACTTGAAACTCGTCAAAACAAGAGGGTAGCCTCAATCGCCGCGGTACTTGAAATTCTTTTAGGCAGGATTAGAGTAAATTAATCTACGAGACCTTCTTTTCCCCCTTTTTATTAGCTATATTTTAGTGCACCAGCAATACCAAGCGTGGGGCGCGAGTATACCCGATTCGATTTTATTACTCATCAGGATATCTACCAGCCTACCCTCAAATTGAAATTCATTTAGGCAGGCTTGGAGTAAATTAATCTATCAGACCTTAGGCGTGGCCAAATATATCAATCGAAAGGGACTGACCTCCTGAATCCAAAACTGAAATTATATCTCAAATCGGTCAAAAGATGACGGAGCTACGAGCTAAACGTTTGTGCTTGAAAAAACAAAACAAAAAAACTCGGAGCCGTTCTATCAGCCGTTATGCCGCGGCTAAAAATATATATCATTCTTGATTGGTGTTTTTTTTTTAGCGCAAAGCTACACAATTGGCTATTTTAAATTTTTCTACGGGGATCGAACCCTCATTTTTGAGTTATAAGCCCTCAATCTTACCGTCGATCCATCTGGGGTGGAGGCTGGGAGTTTTAATTAATAAGGATTCAGATACTTTTAGTCGATATTTGACTGAAACCTGTAAAAAGATTTATTATAACCTTCGTGAATCCTGTTAATAAGGGATTAGAAAACAAAAACTGGCATTCTTCAAGGATATTAATATTATAACAATATTAAGATGAATATTTTTTTATTATTATTATTTGAGATTATGGAATCCCAAAACAAAATATCTTCTAAATATAATTATTTTTATTATATTATTTATTATTATTATTATTTATAAATGTGTTTTATTAAAGATTTCAGAACTGACCTTGCTTTTGAGTAAAATGAAGAGATCCCCCGATTTCACTCCTTTGTAGTTTTATCTTTGGGGGTTTGTTTGAAAAAGGAAGTCTACCATAACAAACCAATAGATCTTGACGTCCTGAAACTACGTATCCGTGATGCTGTCTTATTCATCTCTATATCTGTGGTGGAAAATGTGTTCTCAGAATTAAATTAATTATAGCTGATGATGGAAGACATGTTGAAGTTTATTAATTCAATACAATTTAGAAGCCTTCAGAAGAAACTCTATTGATATCTCAAATAATACAAATTTTATCCAAGTTTCTTTTTGGTGTATTTATTTTGGAACACTCTGTATATATTCAGGTTTAGTGTTTAAGTTTTCATTAGTTTTAGTCGAAAGTCTAACTCCAAATGACAACGGCTTTCTGCCAACCAATACAAAGCTTCGAAGTTAAAGTTCATAGTTCATTACCAAACAGTTACAATAAAAATTTATTTTTCATTCACTTTGATCTGTGTTTCTCTATTAATCTTTTCAACGAAAACGTTCTACTCAAGTACAATCTAAGAACAAAAGAAAAAAAAACAGGATACGTTCCAACTGTTTTAGAAACGATAAACCTCTTAGTGTTCAATTCTCTTTTGTAAAAAAAAAGAAAGAAAAAAAAGATGCATATGTTAGACGATAAATAGGTTTCTCAGTTGTTTGAGTAACAAAACAAAAAAAAACACATTAATCTCGAAGAACTATAAACACGAGAAAAGACAACAGGGTTTCACCTGACTTGTAGGATGTGTAGAAACTGGAGATCTGGTTATTGTTGTTGTTTTAGCGTGAAAATACACAGAGGGCGTATCTGCGCCCTGCTCATCGTGGTGAGCCCCCGATTTTTAAACATGGAAGATCTGGATCGACTTCTCAGCATTTCAATTAATTGATAGTTTTTGCTTGTTTATCTAGACTTTTCGCGAAAATCTACTCAGGGGGCTTTCTGTGCACAACAATCTCCGACTTTGAACTGAGTCAACAGCTTCCAAATCCTGGGCTGCTTTTATTCTAACCGAACAGTAGAATTTGCTCTAATAATAAAATAATTTCGTGGGCAAAGAGATTACAAAGTGTAGAATAAAAAATACTAATGGTAAAAAATCTCGCCAAATTAAAATCACTTTAGTGATGAACACGAAAACAACGATTCGGACGATAGCCCTCTATCGGGTTTCCAGCGAGAACGAATCTGTTAATAGAATAGTTTTTAATCTAGTAAAATTTGCCCGTCACCACGAAGTGACAGCCCTGTAACAGCTGTAAGTGACAGCCCTGTAACAGCTCTTTTCGACGTAAAATATTCATACTTGCCCATCGTAAAGATGTGTTCAGATCAGGGGTCTTAGAATTTCTAAGCTGGAGGTGTACTTTATACTTAATGGCTCTGGTTTGTTTGTATGTTTTGAATTTCGCGCAAAGCTACACGAGGACTATCTGCGCTAGCCGTCCATAATTTAGCAGTGTAAGACTAGAGGGAAGGCAGCTAGTCATCAACACCCACCGCCAACCCTTGGGCTACTCTTTTATTAGTGTGATTGACCGTCACATTATAACGCCCCCACGGTTGAAAGGACGAGCATGTTTGGTGGGACGGGGATTGGAACCCACGACCCTCAGATTGCGAGTCGAGCGCCCTAACCACCTGGCCATGCCGGGCCACACTAGATGGATTATGGAAAGGCTACAGAGATGATTGACGTACTTTTGCATTACAGTTTTACGACGGAACTTTTTGCAATGGCAACTACGCTGTACGGCTATTGTAAAGATGCACGGACGTCAGATAGAGCATGATCGCACGTGGTTACGTGGACTGTAAGAATGTAGTCAACCTTTGTTGTTCATTCACGGCTGAGTTCGATTTTATGTACAGTGTTCTATTTCTACATCTGACTCGTTTACGTAAGTTGAACAAGTGATGCATTTTTCACCTTACCAAAATCGCACAATGGTGGACCACGAGACTCTCAACTAGTCTTAGTTCGATTACACCACTAATCACTTCCTAATTGACGTTCAACTCACGGGGGAACACATAGGTTGATATAGGGAGCGTTAGATCCTGGGGGCCTAAGGATGCATGTCAGGTTTGGTGACAATAGGTTCAGCGACACCGCCAGTTATAATCGGACCATACATACACACACACACACACACACACACACATGGACTTCTGTCGAATAACGATTTAGATCTGTGCTGGTATACACGATCAATTAACAGCCCACGGGTATCGAACCTCGGTTTCTAGTATAATATCTTCATCTAATGTCTAATCAAAACTTTACCCTTTTTTTTTTATTGCGTGCTTTATAATCGATAAGTTTCCTTTTAAAAAACAAATCTGTGATATGGTAATTTACAGTATTTCAGTCCAGTCATTAATCCTGCAGTCCAGTCAATAATCCTGATTAACGATCTATAGTCTTCGTCTCCGAAAACTAACAAAGAAATGAAGTTATTAATAAAACAAAATCAGTAGATAAAAATACATTAGTACAAAGGTAAGAAAAAAAATCAGAAACCTGTCAAAAATAGAAGATAAATATATATACGTAATTATTATTAAAATAGAATCGGTAAAAGAGGTAAAATAAAAACACGCACATACACACACAACAGAAACCTGTCGAAGATAGAAGATAAATATATATACATAATTATTATTAAAACAGGATCGGTAAAAAAGGTAAAATAAAAACACGCACATACACACACACACACAATAGAAACCTGTCAAAGATAGAAGATAAATATATATATATACATAATTATTATTAAAACAGGATCGGTAAAAAAAGGTAAAATAAAAACACGCACATACACACACACAACAGAAACCTGTCAAAGATAGAAGATAAATATATATATATAATTATTATTAAAATAGGATCGGTAAAAAAGGTAAAATAAAACACGCACATACACACACAACAGAAACCTGTCAAAGATAGATATATATGTACAAAATCGAGCCTAAGATATATATTGTATTTCGCCTAAGTTAACATATGCATTTCGTCCTGACTTTTCTAGTGTTTCAAATGCATAAACATACAGATTCAACATCTATTTTCAACACTTGCCAAAAAGTGGTAAATTATATAAATTACTTACAAACGTATTGACAGTCTGGTAATTGAGAAATCAACTTGTAACCTGAAATGTTCCTTTTTCTCTTTGTGTTAATTTTATCCGATCAGGCCCGGCATATTCCCCGTCCCACCAAACATGCTCCCCCCTTTCCAGCCGTGGGGGCGTTATAAT